CCAATATTAAATAGAAATTCCTCCTCCACACTGGACAGGAAGTGTATCCAGTGATCCAGGGGAGAGTGATGAGTGTGAATTAAAGTTGTGATTAAATTAAATTAGCAGTGTGGGGCAGTGTAGGAAATTAGTTGAAAAATTATTATGTTAGAATTTTGATTAAAAGTTACAATAAGCTTGTAGATTACAGTGGATTAACAAATTTAGTTTATTGCTCAGGACCCTAATTTCTCTATTTAAGCCTATATGTATGCACGTAATGATTTATTGACATTATTCCAAGTATTTCTTTTGTTGCTCTAGTGAACTAGTTGCTTTTTAAAAAGTAAAGAGAACTTTTTATTCCTGATATATAGGAAGACTATAGATTTTACTATTTTTCTCTTCTGTCTAGCTAACACGACCTAATTATCATTTAATAATTTTTTTTTTTTTTTGACAGGCAGAGTGGACAGTGAGAGAGACAGAGAGAAAGGTCTTCCTTTGCCGTTGGTTCACCCTCCAATGACTGCCGCGGCCAGCGCGCTGCGGCCTGTGCACTGCGCTGATCCGATGGCAGGAGCCAGGAGCCAGGTGCTTTTCCTGGTCTCCCATGGGGTGCAGGGCCCAAGCACCTGGGCCATCCTCCACTGCACTCCCTGGCCACAGCAGAGAGCTGGCCTGGAAGAGGGGCAACCGGGACAGAATCCGGCACCCCAACCGGGACTAGAACCTGGTGTGCCGGCGCCGCTAGGCGGAGGATTAGCCTAGTGAGCCGCGGCGCCGGCCCATTTAATAATTTTAATTTCTTCATTTGCCAGTGCTTTCAGAACAATTGTGATAACAGTGATAGTTGGCTTGCTTGTTTTGGTCTTTTTTTTTTAAATACTGACCATAAGTTTATAGTCAATAATAACATGTTTTATTAAGATTGATACTCTTTCCTCTGCTGATTCAATCCCCAAATGCCTGCAACAACTGAGGCTAAAATAGGCTGAAGCCAGGAACCTGAAATTCCATCTTGGTCACACTCAAACCAATACTCACATTCAAACCTGCACTCCAATATGGCATTCCTGCTGTGCCACAATGCTTGCCCATTTTGCAGGTTTTTTTTAGGAAGAATAGTTTTTGGTATTAAATAATTTTCAGCATATACTGAGATGATCTTATACTTTTTACCTGTTGATAACCTTGATAAGTTTTTAATGTTTATTTTTAATATTAAGCCATTGTTACATTATCAAGATAAACTAGACTTGGTGGAGTGTGTTAAATGCTAAAGAAATATATCAATTTGTGAGTGATTTATTCAAGATTTTACATTTGTAACTAAAAATTAAAAGGATTTGTAACTCTGACTTTCAAATAAATAAAATAATTCTTTAACAAAAAATGGATTTGTGATTTTATCTTTCATATGATTTAATTTTCTGTTCACTTCTATTAGAATATAAGTAGCCCGACATAACTGGGGGGGATGATCAAGTGAGGAGTGATGGAGGGATTAATATGCAAACCTAATGGAAAAGGAAGGCATCTAAGATTTCAATCTTTAAATAAAAAGGAAGGAAGCCAAAATGTCTGTTCTAGAGCTAACAGAGGCCATTCAGAAATTTAGAACAAGCAAAAGAAACCCACTTCATCAATCAATCCAAGCCCTAACAAGTGACAGATACAATGATGGCCTTTTGCCCTTTATGGATCTTACCCTTCTTCCAGGCATGTGAAGATCCAGTTCTACTTATTGAGAAAAGAGGTCCGTTAATGGTAACAGAGATGCAGTAAAAAGATAAAAGAAATCATGCTTGTCAACACAGATAAAAGTCCGAGACATGAGGGAGTCTTCAAAAAGTTCACAGAAAATGCATATTATGAAAACACTATACATGGACTTCAAATATTTTTGCATCAAAATACAGTAACCTTTTAATTCTATTTTCCCACAAATATTTTGAAGTATCCTCATACACTGCATAGGCACAATCTTAAAGGGTAACACAGTATACATACCACCTGGCCAAGAGACAGAACTATTTTGCCCAGGGAGCACATGACATTTATTCTACTCACTACCAACAACCAGTGCCACCATTCCTAGAAAAGGACTTACAGAAACTTGGTTTTAGACATTCTCATCACACAGTGAAATTGGTGGCAGAAGGAGATTTTATTCTTATCTCATCTGACCTTATATTAAGCCAGAGGAAAAAAAATACAGCATATCTTCATTCATTCAAATACTAATTCATTCTAAAAAGAAATGCAGGTACACACTATGCGAGATGTTCGGCAAGGCCTGGGAAAGCGGACATAATCCCTAGTCACAAGTGAAAAGGTAAGAAGTAACTATGACCCCATTAAAATTCTATACTGAGAGTATGTCTGTATACAGACATAAGGAGTCAAGAAAGGTAGCTGAAAGGGAATGAAAACTAAGATGAAACTCAAAAGAATGAGAAGTTGGCTGTCACAAATAAATATTCTAGGGGCAGGATTTGGTATTACACTTAAGACGTTGCTTGTGATGCCTGTACTCCATACCAGAGTGCCGAGGTTAGAGATCCAACTCCACTTCTAGTCCAGCATCCTGCTAATGGCACTGTGGGATGCAGCAGATGATGGCTCATACTTAGATCCCTGCCAACTACATGGGAAAGTTGGACTGAGTTTCCAGACAGTGGATGAAAGATCTCTACCTGTCTATCTGTCATTCTGTCTTTCAAAATAAGTAAAAAAAAAAAAAAAAATTTAAATTAATATTCCAGACAAAGTGAAAGCATGTATAAAGGCTTAGGAGGCAAAATAGTCCAAACACATTTTCAGGAAATAAAAATTCAGAAAGGCTAGTGCATAAACTGCTTAAGGGAAGTCAGGACAAAAAGACTCATGGAAAGATGCATGAGGCTACAGAGTTAAGTAGAGACACATCAATTAAAAAATGTAATTTGGAGTTCAATCTTTACTTTAAAGCAAAACCATTGATGGGCTTAAGCAAATAGTGATTTGGTCAGATTTGTAATTTTTGAAATCATTCAGACTGCAATATGGAGAATTGATTTAAAGAAAAGTAATTTGAAAAGCAGATCAGTTAGGAAAATGGTAAAATAAAATCACAGGAAACACTTAAGTATGATAATCAACAGTTTAAGAAAAACAATGTTCAGAAACAGTTAACACACTGTTTTATCCCAGAATTAAATTTACACCAAGCATCTGCCTACTATCCTTTATGCAACATCAACCTCAATCTATTTTGTCAAATAAGTCCTCCTTTGCAACTATTCTAACTGTATAAAACACCTGTCCAACACAGTAGTCATCTGGCGCACTGTTATTTAAATGGAAATAAAATAAATTTTAAAATTTATTCCCTTAGTAGTAATAGCCAATTTTCAAGTGTTTAATAGCTACAGGTGGCAAGTGGCTCCTGAATGCCCAGCAGAGATATAAACATTTCCATTACCACAGAAAAGCGTATTGGACACTGCTGGGCTACACAGACCCCTAAATCTGCCACTTCACTAGGTAAGCCTATTTAGAACAACACTGATCTATGTGTGAAGGCAGACTCACTCACTGTCTCATGTCTGCTCCTTGTATATTAATAAGTCCTCACAATGCAGTGAAGAATCATGGTGTACAAACCACAAGACAGGCTCTGTTTTGGCTCATTAATCCTCACTGTGCTCTGAAGAAATAGGAAAGCAGCAGGCAGCACCCATGTTTTATAGGTGAGGACACCAAAGCACAGAAATTAACCTGCCTGAGGCCATAAAGTCAATAATGCACTCACAAATAACAGCTGGATTCCCTAACGCCCTGACCAGTGCTCCATTCATTAAAGTAGTCATGGCTGATTTAAGAACTCTAGGATGGAAATGATTCCATTTCACCTGACCTAGGCAACTGTTTGCTTCATCAAATGGCTTGCTATACCCAAAGGAGGGCCACATCTGTTAGGTCCTTATATAGATACAGATATCTCTGTTAGTTCCATGTGTGTGTGAATGTCTGTGCATTTAATTATCTATCTATCTATCTATCTAGATGCAGAGAGAGAGAAAGTTTGTCCTAACTATCTGATAATCTGCAATGAGAAATAAAAGAGATTGAAAACATTTACTGAAACAGCACCAAAGTATGGTACATCCTTGCATTATTAATTTGTTTTTCAATTATGTGAAATGGTTACCTATAAAAAATTACAACCTAGAAGCTCTGCATTTTGTGATTCTCATTTGCCTTGTATCCAGGCTAAGTCTGACTTTTTGTGTGCTCTTTTCAAACCTATAGACGCAATGGGGACAGAGGCAATTGTTGCATTTTCATTTCAACTACCTAATTAACTGAAAACAGCCAAATAATATATAGGAAGACATGAAGAGAGTTACAAATTTAAGATAGGAAATCTACATGTGGCATTTGCTTGTGACACTCTTGACAACAGCAATCTGAAAATGTAGCCACCAGCATTCATTAATGAGTCTCTGTGCCCTGACGTTACTAAACAATTTACCCAGGGCGTCATTTGAATGATGTAAGAAATCTAAGAACTAATTCTGCTGCACTTGATCAATATGTGAGTTCTTATGGATTTTAACTGCTGCTATGCCAACTACGCAGAAAAAGCATAAATGAATAGAATGTTTAAAGCAGTTCTAAAGGATCAGGTAACATACAAAATACTTCTATGATAATTATTTTCCTTTAATTAAGTACAAATCAATCTACACAAAATAAACAAGCAATGAAATCTGTTCATAAAATGAAAGCCTCCAAAATGTATTTGACAATTGTTTCTGAATTAAAAGCAAATCTTCCCCAAACATGTAAGTGCCATCAAATAAAAGAGTACAAATGCTGATTTTAACACAGAACCCAATGATCACACATAATCTTAGTCGTAAAAGAGAAGAGACCAAAGCATCAGCTTGGGTATCAAAGTCTTTGCTTCAACACATACTTTGATTCAGAAGTACAAGCCAATTTAAAAAGTAATCTTAAAGTTGAATACTCACACAGCATTCCTCGAGGCTCCGTAGGACAGCAAGAGCTTTACTATATCCAGGTGCCCGTTCTTGGCTGCATCGTGAAGAGGGGAATCATTCTGGTACCCTGTGCTGTTCACCAGGGCCTTGTGCTGGAGCAACAATTCCACCACCCTCAGGTGCCCATGATTGCATGCTTCATGCTAATTAAACAGAATGAGTGAGAAGGGTGATCAAGAAGAGCACTTTGGAAAAATCAAAGTGAATCTTGACCAATGAATTTATTAACTCAATACTCATACAGTTACATCACTGACAGAGTGTTTGTCATAAATCACATAATCTTTGTGATCAAGATTTATGCAATTCATAAAAAAGAAGGTATTCACTTGGACCTTGAGTCAAGTGCTCTCTAAGAAGAAAATGTAGCTTTAAAACAACTATAATTCCTAAGTTGTTTATAATACAGTAAAAACATTAAAAAAACAAAAAGATTTACAAAGTATTTAACAACCAAATCATGCGTAAAATCTAAAATTCTCTAGGTCTGAAGAGAATTCACTAGATGAAGGGCTTAGCCATAAGTTAAGGGATACACCAGCACATGCACAGAACCATCCAACAAAGTGAATATCCTCGGAGTATTTATGAGACAAGTTTCCCATCTGCTGAAGCAACAGATTACTGTATGGTTGGCATCAGTGATAACAGAAGTAACATGAAGCAAGTATTCAAAGACAGTTTATTAGAGTAACAGAAATGGTAACAATACAATGTTTAAAGACACTGTACATGCAATTTTTTCCTTATGTCTAATGAACTGTTCTAGTGTTATGTTATATTCTAAAAAATCTCAGGCGCATTATGCTAAGTATATGGACTGCAATTCATAATAGGTGATATTAAACTCAACATCTGTAGGTTTATATCTAGGAGAAGCAAATTCAAATTAGTCATTAGGAATCTTAATGAAGAATGGGATGGGAGAGGGAGTAGGAGGTGGGATGGTTTGGGGGTGGGAGGGCAGGTATGAGGGGAAGAACTGCTATAATCCAAAAGTTGTACTTATGAAATTTATATTTATTAAACAAAAGCTTTCTATATAAAAAATAAATTAGTCATTAGATCTTCTAAATCACTCACCAGGCCTTATTACAATTTGTCTTAGTGATTAAAAAAGCAAAAATCTTTCTTTGAAAAGGTTAGGTAGCTTGTGGAGTCCAGACTACAAACTGGCTCTAATCTAGACTAAACCCATCTTAAGACTATGGCAAGAAAAGTCACTATAATATAAACCTTTTGTGCATCTGGCCTAATGAGTCTCCTAATTTCTTTGCTGCATTTTTAGTTCAGATGATAAAGGCATCCACCTCATTTGTTGCCACTTCTACGGCTGCATTCAAATCTCATGCAGATTGCCCTAAAGTAATTAGCACATACAGCAACTGTTTCCAAGTATTTGTGCCATTCTTTTCCTAGAGTATGCTTCATGCTACAGTTTTTGTATTAATAGAAGACTTAAAAATGCTTAATGTAAGCAAAGTCTTCTGTCAAATTTATATATTTGCAATTAGTTGGAGCATAAGTGAGGTTGAGACAGATCCTCAGGAACAATCTCTCTCCTGTGATCATAATTCCTATACTGAGTTCCTCTGGCCTGTATTTCTCCCAAGAGATCTTGTTCCAATGGTATATAGTTGCTGCAATAAGGAGCACAGTGTCAGCTATAGCAATTTCTTCCATATATTAGCTAACTTCAGCAACATAATATAACTGAATGTCTAAATCTAAAGGTAGTTAGTCAAAAGGTAGCCAATTTCTTACCTCTTAATTGACAAGCTAGACACAATATATTCATTTTACCACACTGGTGAATACATAAATTTTTCAGACTGAAAACAGTGTAGGTGACACAGGATGATACACAGACAACTATATACCTATAAACTATAAGAACCACACAAGGTGGAGGGTCTCTGGCAGTGATGGAGCTGACATTTAGGATGCCCACATCCCATACAGGAGTGGTTATGCTCTCTGCTGCAGCTTCCTTCTAATTAATCCACACCTTGGCAAGCAGATAGGTCCAAATACGTGGGTAGCTGGTTAAGTTACTGACACCTGGCTATTGTCTGGCACAGCTCTGACTCTTGTTGGGCATTTGGAGAGTGGACCAGTGGATGGAAGATCTCTCTCTCTCTCTCTCTCTCTCTCTCTCTCTCTGCCTTTCAAATAAATTAATTTTTTTAAGAACTATAAAAAATGACAATAGAAAATTTAAGAAGTAGAAAATTACCAATGGTGTCCATCCAGCATTGTCTTTAACATTTGGGTCGCTTCCATTTTGTAAGAGGTATTCAACAGAAGGCACATCACCCTAGTAGAACCATGGAAAAATAAAAAGACAATAAAAAGCATCAAGTAATGAAAGGAAGACATTAAGGTTTCTTTGGAAGATGCTATCTTCTTCAAGATAAAATAAAAGTTTTCTCTTAGGCCTAATGTTCATGACCTAATAAATGTGAATTTAAGTACATAAACATTTTTCTGAGTTACTGGTCTACCCTTGAATACAAGACCTCTATTAGCAACCCAATTTCAGAATTCACTTCAAGATGCCAAATAAAGGACATTGGCCAAAGAACATTTGATCATTATGAAGTCATTTGTAAAAAAAAAAAAAAGAAATCCTTTTTGAGCATGCATGAAAATGGTTTACGAGTATTATTTAAAACAAATGGAATGATATAAAGCCAAGAAAGATGCTTGTTGAAACCGGTGTTAAAACTGCAGAAATGTATCATCTAAGTGGCAATTGCTCTATTTATCCTAATTCATTAATTTAGTTTATTTTTATCTTATTTTATCACAAGTATTTACTAGGCAAAACCATTTTTTCTATTTAAAATGGCAGCAAACAGAGTCTAGCATTGTGATGTAGTGGGTTGTTACCCTCTGTGATGCTGGCATCCCATATGGGTGCCAGTCCAAGTCCCAGCTTCTCTACTTCTGATCTAGTTCCCTGCTAAAGCACCTGGGAAAGCAACAGAACATGATGCTTGGATCCCTCCATCCACAGGGGCGATCTGCCACTCACCTGGGATGAGGCTGCCTAGTTTCGGCCTGTCCCAGCCCTAGCCATTGCAGCCATTAGAGGAGTGAACCACTTGTTGGAAGCTCGCTCGCTCTCTTTCTCTGTGTCTCTCCCTCCCTCTGTCATTCTACCTTTCAAATAAATAAAGAAATTTTTAAAAATCAATAAAATGGCAGAAAACAGGTAGTAGAAACCTATTCAAAATGACCCATGGTGTATGCATTAAATTTTTATTCCCTGGTTCAAGACTAAAATCATCACCCATTATCAGCTAACTGAATTACAGGAAATGGAGCTTTTGTGAAACCCATCCTTACAGATATTTTTCTACCAAACAGGTTTCAATGTTTCTCTCTCCTATTCCAATACTCTGGGGAACATATGCAATAATTATACATAATAGTGGCTCATAGATATAGTAAAAGGACAAAGAAGGTGAGGAAAAACAGGAAATATTGTAACTTCAGTTGAGAATTCACAATCTCTTTATGAAGGAGATAAGAAAATATTGGGAATAAATGAATTAAAGGAAAACAAATTAAACACAAACAATATTAATTCTATTTTCCTATTATTAAAAATCAAACTGTCAAACTAAACTGTCCTAATTTCTAACTTTGTTGTGCATCATGATCTAACTAAATCCTATTATAGATAAGTGGTCCTTAAGAGATGTCTTTTGCAAGAAGAAATGACATATTTTTGAAAGTATGCTTCTGTAGCAGAAAGTGAAGCTTTGGGTACTGGTCTCAGGCAGTATCTCCTCTGAACCTCCTTTCTGTATCTTATGGCAGAGGTGAGAAACACAATCTTCAACATTTAGTCTCTTCATTTCATACCTTAATCTAACATGGAAAGATCTGACATCCATCTTGCATGTTTAATCACATATGGTGTTCAAGCACTGGTCAACTCTTAGGCCCTTAAAAAAAAATCTTTGGCTATAAAATAAATCTCTCCCTTTCAAAACAATATTAAAGGGCTGGCCTTGGTAGGTAAGCCCTTCCCAATGGCCTTGGTATCCCATATGAACACCCATTCCCATCCTGGCTGCTCCATTCCAATCCAGCTCTCTCTATAGTACCTAGGAAAGCAGCAGAAGACAGCACAAGTATGTAGGCCCCTGCCACCCATGTGGAGACCTGGCTGAAGTCCCAAGCTCCTGGCTAATGCCTGTCCCAGACACAGCCTTTGCAGCCAGCTGAAGAGTGAACCAGCAGATGGAAGATACCTCTCTCCCTCTCATTATTCCTCTCCCCATTTTGTAACTTTGCCTTTCAAATCAATAAAAAAAAAATCTTTAAAAAATAGCATCAGGCATTAGGAAGAACGATTGCATTTATGTAGTGGGACAAAGATACAATTCACATGAATTACACTACTATTACCAGTCACAGAAAAGATAACTACATCAGTTCTTTTAGGATGACAGGAAGAGGGACACAGTGCCTAAGTCCAAGAATATAAACAAAGCAAAAGTTAACTGAGAGGGCTTATTACTCCAAAAAAGACAGTAAATATAAGTTACAAGTGACAAAAGTTGCATACACAATGTTCTATTCAATGATTTTTGTGAAGTACTTATTTAGGGTTAAAGAAATCTCTCCTGTATCACTCTCAGTCTCAATTACTCATGTTTGAAATGAGTCTTTTCTTCTATTGCTCTGATAATGTAGAATTCACTAAGACCCCTAAATATAATAACATTTGCTTTTATTTGCTTTTTTTTTAAATTTTGCCTTTTATTTTTATTTCTTGTTCATTTTTACCTACTTCTCACATACAGTAAATATTTAGATGGCAGCTTAAAAGTTTCTAAAAAAAATCCACGTTTCTATGTTTCTAAATTAGCAAAATGACGTTTAATGTTTACTGTGTCTAAAAACAAGCATCTTACACAAGAGGAGACTGTTGTGATCATTTGAGAAGTGAACAAGTAGATGGTGTCTCTGCACCTTTCAAATAAATAAATACATCTTTTTGTTTGTTTGTTTATATTTGTTTGAAAGACAGAATTAGAGAGAGGGAGAGGCAGAGAGAGAAAGAAACCTGCTGGCTCACTCCCCAAATAGCTGCAACGAACTGGGCTGGGCCAGGCTGAAGCCAGGAGTTCATCTGGGTCTCCCAATTGCATGCAGGGGCCCAAGTTCTTCCATCATCTTCTGCTGCTTTCTCAGGCAGATTAGCAAGGAGCTGGATTGGAAGTGGAGTAGCTGCAATTTGAGCGGGCACCCATAAGGGATGCTGAAACTGCAAGCCATGGTTTAACTTGTTGCACCACAGCCCTGGGCTTGATACATCTTTTTTTTAAAAAATGTTTATTGGGGGTAAAAACAAGCATTATACTATGGGGCTTCAAGAAGTCTGTAGAAGATGGAATCAAAGGCTAATTAGTGTGAAACATCCATGAACTTTCTTAACACATTCACGTATGTATTTGCCCAGTTCATCCAGAGCATGTAAGTGTGCAAATTCTAGCCTTCTAGTGTAAGATAACTTTTATGTTATACCCAAGTCAGTTCTAAATGAATGCAGGAGCAAATACAAAAAACGTCCTCATTCAAATCCTATGTGGCAATGACAAAAATTTATTAACCTAAAGAGCCCAGAAGATAACATAAACACAGTGTGAAATGGGAAAGTCATGTACAGTTAAAGAGGAATAAAGCGACAATCTGCAGAATAAAAGCAGAATCTCTTCTGAAGGCTGTGAGACAGTCTATTTTCCTTTCATGTCACCTCTCCATATTATCAAAGGTGTCTTCCATTAACATTCCACACCCTGCGACATACAGCTGATTGGAAAACGACTTGCTTTTTATACTCAGTATACATTCTCCTCCATAGTACTTAAAAGTTTGTCATATTTTCATCTTTCTACTTTATGTGAATTGAATGTCATGCACATAAATAAAATTATGATAATTAGATAGACTCCACAGTAACTGGATAAGCTTGAATAGGTATGAAGTTTCTAGGAAATAAATTAACTCCTGCTTCTGATTTCTTTATGCTGCTTTCTTCTCTAATACTCTCAGAATATTTTCTGAGTAATAAGCACTCACTTTTAGGTTCTTCATAACTTGAAAGAATAACTGAGATTTTCTAAAATCACTTCAATAAATAAATAATTTTTGTCAAAAAATCATCTAAGGAAAGTAGTGAGGTTAGAAGAAATTTTAAATGGATTTGGTATTTTCAAGTAATACTTCAAAGGCTGAAAATAAGGAAGTGTGTGTGACTGTGGGTCCCACTGAATCCTATTGCTAACTTTTCAGTGAAAGCAAAGATTTCACACACATTCATGTTATTGCAGATACATGCATTTCCAGTAATAAATTAACTTTCCCAAAACACACATAAGATTCTTTCCCTTCTTAGAAAGGTTAGCTCTTTTAAAGTACCATTAATAATAAATGTCTTTATAAAAACATAGGACATTACAAATTAATATAGTAAAAATGGTTTTGACACATAATGAACTACGTACCTAAAACCTTCCTATTTAGAAATTTGTTAGGAAAAGAAATTTCCATCTGCAATGGATTCCTAAAATATGCTAACACTTCTTTGGCTTCCTAGATTTTACTGAATAAAATTACATAAAACATCACTCTAACAACCTAGTCAACATTGTTATATGTTACTGATACACCACAAAGGCAGATTTAGAGGTAACAAGTAAGTAACAGAGAGAAAAAATGGATACTGATTCCAAGAGGCATTCCAGAAATTAAAATCCTGAGGTCAGTGTGGCCCAGCAGGTCAAACTACCATTTAGATTGTCAGCATTCCGTGTTGGAACACTGGTTTGAGTCTTGCCTTCTCTGCTTTAGATCCAGCTTTCTGCTAAATGCGCCTGGGAATGCAGTGGATGATGGCACGAGGAGTCCCCGCTACCCATGTATGAGATACAGGTGGAGTTCCAGGCTCCTGGCTGCCACCTGGTCCAGCCCCAGCCACAATGGCCATTTGGGGAGTGAACCAGCAGATGGAAGATCTCTCTCTCTTTCTCTCCCTCTGTACCTCTTTCAAATAAATCTTTAAAAAATTCAGAATACCTAGTTTTTTTAAAAAAGAAATTTTATTAAACCCAGACCTAGACTCTAGATCTTCAGATCCTTGTTAATAAAGACAAATTATTCTCATGATTACAAGAAAATTTTTCTACTAACATAAGTAGATATTTGCCTGATGATCTGAAAATTCCCAGAAATTCTAAAATGTAGAAATCAAAGTAGCCTGAATACTTATGTATCAGTCAAAAAAAATGCAGAATAATACTTATTATATTAGTTTTTATGTCTATGGAGCACTGTTAACATAATAACTTTATGCAATAGCCTTAATATCCTTATCTAAAATACTTTGGACCAGAAGTGCTTGGGATTTTTTTTAAGATTTTGGAATGTCTGCATACACGTAAGGAGATATCTTGGGGACAGGACCCAAATGAAATTCATTTGTTTCAGGTATATCTTGTACACACAGCCTGAATTTTGTGTGCAAAAACAAAGCTTTATAGTATGCATGTAAAACAAATTTTCATAGTGGTATCATGTCAGCACTCAAAAATTCAGATTGTGGAGCATTTTGGATTTCAGATTTTGGGATTATAGATGTTCAGTGAAGTACATATACAAGAAAAAGATGACAAAAAATTCTGATTTTATATCATGCTTTGCAGAAAATCAAAATATAATCAAACTCCAAAATTTCAAGTTGACCAAAGGATATGTGACCGCTAGTATGAAGTCATATTGAAAGCCCCCCTGCCTTCACTGGCATCAGAAATGAAGTATCCCAAGCCAGGGCTGTGGTATAGAGGGCTGGGGCTCTGCCTAAAGTGCCATCATCCCATATGGGTGCTAGTTTGGGTCCCGGCTGTTCCAATTCCAATCCAGCTCCCTGCTAGTGCCCAAGAAAAGCAGCAGGAGATAGCCCAAGTCTTTGGGCCCCTGTACCCACATGAGAGACCTGGAAGAAACTCCTGGTTCCTGGCTTTGGCCCGGCCCAGCCCTGGCCATTGTGGTCATTTGGGGAGTGAATCAGCAGATGGAAGATCTCTCTGCATCTGCCTTGCACACTCTGTAACTCTGAGTTTCAAATAAATAAATAAATCTTAAAAAAAAAAAAAAAGGAAAAGAAATAGAGTATTCCACCTTAATTTGAAATAAAAGCAGTGGGGAAAAATACTTGCATGAGACAATGCAGCAAAGTCTGTAAAGCTATGGTGCTTCCTGCTCCCTTTTATATGTTGAACTTGTGCCAATTTAGAATAAACACAACAAGCAGGCCTCATGCTAAGGAAATAGGCAAAGTTCCAAAACCTATCACTGCCACCTCCCAGGCGACAGAGCAACAATTAAAGAGAATTCACTTCAATGAACAGGCTCATGGTGGGGCACAGAGCAGCTCCTTTGGTGGTGAACTGCAGGACTCACATCTCATCATCCAATGTCCAGTCCGCTGGAGAAATGTACAGACCACATCCTCAACCTTTCCAGTTCTTGCAATGCCCACTAGAATGACCATGCAGGAAAAGAAGCTGGCTCCCTCCCACAGTGCTAGCGAGCTCTTTTGCTAGGTAAATATGTGTTGCGAGCAATCACTTAGCAATTGTCTGCATTCATAAAATATGGGAAGAATGAGTAAACACAATGATAACAATAGCAGCAAGGGTACTCGGCCAAGAAGAAGCTGTGATGTTGAAACCAGTTTTCACCTATAAGATCACACTTTCCAGACCCAAGCTCAACTGAGGTAAAGCTGCAGTACCTATGAATTTTGCTTCTCTGCTTCAGAGGAAGCAGCATGGCTATAGCTGGTCAATTATCCTAGCAGTCTTAGGCCATTTTTCATAAACTCCGCGGTCTCGCACCAGATTGTATTTTGGATTAAGCATCTTACCTTAATTGCAGCAACATGGAGCAGAGTCTCTCCTCTATGGTTCCTTTTCCCAGCCATAAGGCTACCAGGAGATGACTTCAGTACCAAGGGGCTGGACATCATTCGTCTGTAAGTTGAGCTATTCAAGGAAGAAGGTGGAGTACCTGGTGAAAGGTTCAGGGATTCCTCTGGTACATTACTGCTTTTTCTGCTCAATGTGGTACCAACTTTACGTTTGTTTGATGGTGGTGAGGAACAATTAGGTAATGGCACATTTTCTGAAATCTCTGTTTGCTTAGGAAAATCTCTACTAGTGCTTGGAGTGCTGCTTCTTCGTTTCTTAGAAACAGGACTGGGAAGTCTACGTTTTCCTTTTCCATCTAATGGCAAAGATCTTTTAGATGTAGGATAGTTTTCACAGACCTCCTCAAGAGTCACTTCACTCTTGGTCTCAATGTCTGGAGACTCGATTTGCTCAGCCAGAGGCAAAGTGGCTTCAGTTAAGTTTCCTAAAGGCTCACATTCTATGACAGAGCCACTTGCTAGTAAGTCTATCTCATCGTTTACGGGTGGACTAGCAATAACAGATGGTTGGCTACAAAAGGATACCAGCTTTTCCTTACATTCATCTTTCAAGTCAGTTTCACTATTTTCTTTTCCTGCCTCTAAATTCCATTCTTGGTTGATTTCAGCTAAAGTTTTCTTTTTCTGCTTTTTCCCAGATGTTGTAGAATTCTTTTTAGCCTTCTTAGGAACATCTGTAGGAGGAGTTGCAGAGACAAATTCATACATTGAGGTTTGCTGAGTATTTTCATCTTTCATCTTTTGAGGCTGGGTTTGCACTGAGACTTTACTCACAATGTATCTAACCTTCTTACTTCGAGGACTAAACCACATTTTTATTGAATTCTTCTTGCTTTCTGCATCATTAAATAAACGTGTTCTAGATGTATCTTCTTTCAAATCTGTTAGAAAAAAGGAAGCAAAATCTGTGATAAAAACTCAATACCTCTCATCTTGAACTCTATGGAATTTTATTTTATAGTGCCTGTATGGGATGCTGGCACTGCAGGCGGAAGCTTAACCTATACCACAGCACTGGTCCAATAAATAATTTCATACTGCCAGACAATAATCGTTCAAATGAACACAGATCTCTTCTGGCCAATTAGATCATTTGAAGTATGTTTTATTCTATTTTTTTAAAAATGGAGAGAAAATTTATTTTATTTATTCTATCAAAAAAGAAGACCGAGAATGTTTTGTCTTATTAAAAAAAAAACGGAGCGAGGGGAAAAAGAAATAACCCGAATTACATTTTCCTCCTGAGAAGTCACTTGTCCTTTAAGATGAAGAGAACTCTGCATAAAACGGCTTACGGGGGCAGGTATCTGGGAAAATGGTTAACTGCTTGGGACTACCACATGCCATAGAGAAGTGCTTGGGTTTGAGTTCTGGCAACTCAGCTCTTGCTAATGTGTATGCACTGGGGAGGCAAGAGGTGATGGCCCAAGTACCTGGATTCTTATCACCCTTGTCAGAGATCTGGAATGAGTTCCAGGATACTGGCTTCAACCTGGACCAGCCTTGACTGTTGTGAGCATTTAGAGAGTGAACAAGCAGATGGAAGAATGGTCTTTGTCTCTGTCTCTCTGCTCCTTTGTCCCTCAAATAAAAAAAAAAAAAATTTAAAGCAACAATAGTTGCCTGAAACAAATTTATCCTACAGAATCATAGAGAAATTTTAATAAAATGGATTCCAAACATAAGGTTCTTCAAGAAAAAAACCAATGGTTATTAGTGAGTCTTATTCCTACAGGCTGGTATCACCACCTTGGAGGAACTGACATGTCTGTTGTTTCTAGGATAATAAAATTTTCAAACATGCTTATTCTTAAAAATATGTAAAACTTAAATACGAATACAACATAATTTTATTTTCATTTTTCTCATTGTTTCGGGAAATAAATTTCTGTCCAATATTCTTTTTTCTTAAAATGTTCATAAGAGAGGGGCCAGTGTTGTGGCACAACGGTTAATCTGCTGCCTGGGGGCTGGCGCAGTGGTGCTGCTACTTAAAGCCCTGGCCTGAAGCGCCAGCATCCCATATGGGCGCCGGCTGCTCCACTTCCCATCCAGCTCTCTGCTGTGGCCTGGGAAAGCAGTAGAAGATGGCCCAAGTCCCTGGGCCCCTACCACCTGCGTGGGAGACCAGGAGGAAGCTCCTGGCTCCTGGCTTTGGATCGGCGCAGCTCCAGCCGTTGTGGCTAATTGGGGAATGAACCATTGGATGGAAGACCTCACTCTCTGCCTCTCCTCTCTGTGTAACTCTGACTTGCAAATAAATAAATATTAAAAAAAAAAAAATCTGCTGCCTGTGATTCTGGCATCCCATATGGTACAAGTTCAAGGCCCAGCTACTCCATTTCCAATCTGGATCCCTGCTAATGTGCCTGGGAAAGCAGTGAAGATGGCCCCATGTGTGTGGATCCCTGCAACTCTCCTGGGAGTTCTATGCTCCTGGTTTTGTCCTGGCTCAGCTTCAGCTATTGCAGCCATTTGGGGTGTGAACCAGCAGAAGGAAAATTGCTCTCTGTCTCCCTACTTCTCTCTGTAACTCTTTCAAATAATAAATAATTTTTTTAAAAGTTTGAGAAAGTATATTATTGAATTAAAAAAATTCTTTTCATTTTTGTTACATAGAAAGTTTATAATTTCACCAGCTTAAAATTTATATACCAGAAGACTGTTAACTAAAATTTCATTTATACAGAACATTTTATCTTACAATTTCAGCAGCTTAAAAGTATTAATATACCAGAAGATTGTTAATTAAAATCTTAATTGTCTAAAGTTCAAAATCACTTCTGTCTGTTCTTTTACCATAAACTAAGGACAAAAGCTCTTTTTTTCTCCTTTAAGTTATTTTTCTTTATTTGAAAGGCAGAATGACAGAGAGAGAGAGACAGAGAAAAAAAAAAAAAAACTGAAACCAAAGAAAGCTCCCATGTGCTGGTTCACTCCCCAAATGGCTACAGAAGCTAGAGATAGGCCAGGCTGAAGCCAGGAGCCTGGAACTCCATTCAAGTCTCCCATGTGGGTGGTAGAGGCACATTAGCAGGGAGCTGGACTGGAAGCATAGAGTAGCCAGGATTCAAATCCAGACACTCCACTGGTTGTGGGCATCCCAAGCAAGAGGTAACACTCTGCGCAAAAGCCCTGTCTTTATAAAAGCCCTGTCTTTATAAACGGATAAGAACTTGGGATGAACTGAGATGAACTTGGGAAGATGAAGATATCAAGTTCCCATTGCTTTGGCCCTTGCCCCCTTATCTCTGTGCTCCCACATATCCATGCCTCCATGGTAACCGGTGTCACAGTAACAGACAGGTGGACCTGGTTGGCTAGCTGCTCACAAGTCTGCTATGTAAGAGTCTGGCTCTGGGCCCTTTTGTATGTAAACCCATATAAGCAACTGGGGGCCATGGCTAAACATGGCTGCTTGTGAACGTGTGAATGCATGGGTGTATGTGGCTACTGGGGATATGGCTGTATGTGGATATGTGGATATGTGAATGTGTGTATATGTAGATGTCTCCGTGTGTGTGTCTGATTACTGCCACAGACACAAAGATGGATATCTACTGTGGCCCCACCACCACCGGGGGCAAGAGAATGTTCCTTGTGCATTTCTCACTGCCACTGTGAGTAAAAGAAATATAAATTCACAGATGTCTCCAAGTTGTTCTCTGAATTGTCAGAATCTGAATCTGCTGGTCCTGGGCCTTAAGCCCTGGGCATAAAATGAAATAATCATTAAACTGGTAAGAAAACATAGAAAATGCCAAGTTTTGAGAAATATTTAGTTTTCAACTTTAGAAATTTCAGAAATGATTCCTGCCTAGAAAAAAATTAAATCAAACTACATCCCACTACAAAAAGGCCATCAAATGAAAACATCACGTGAGAGCAAAGAAATAAAACCAGCAGGAAACAACAGGCAGACCTTCCTATCCTTTTTACGTTGCAACTGAACATCACTTGATCCACAAAGTGTTACTAAGCCAGGATCTTGGAAATCAAAACAATCAGAACAAGGTACCCATTCACACAGAGACTTATATCTAAATTCAACAAGGTCTTTTCTTTGCAATGATAAGTAGATTTCAAAACTAAGCCATTTTTGATATAATCTCAAGTCTAGAGGAAAGGTCAAAATGAAATGTTACTAGGATTACCTTTTTAAAAAGACTCAAGATTACAAAGACTTAAAGGTTAATCCTCTGGTAGTCTCTAAAAATTTGTATTTGATTTCTTAAAAATTTATTTTCAAACCAGGTGATGACATTTTCAGTTAAAAACAAGTCAAATCCAAAGTCCACAACATTTATAAAACTGTCAAAATGAAGAATTGGGCATTTACAGGAAAATTAAGGCTTGTAAGAAGTAGCAATACACTCAATTGACTTAAAAAAATCTAAATCTAAAGATACAACAATTTCAAACTCAGGTGTACATATTTCCCAGGCTATAAGGGAATAAATGAAGATAGTACATATGCATGTAATATGTATAAAGACAATAATTTTACTAATCATCAGCTAATGATAACTTTGCCCAGGAAGGGTATAATTATGCACCTTGGTATAACCAAGCAAGAACCACCACAGCAAACATGACTGTAACTCTGAATTTTAGGCAGCATATCTAAGATAAAATTGTAAAAAGCAAAAACAACACTACTGCTAGAACATAAATCATATTATTGACAGCTACAATGGTTTTTATGGGTAAATATTTCTAAGATGAATTATCATATCCATTATATGAAGAAAAATATTGGTTCTTTCTCTGCATAGTAAATTTCTTAATGATGACAATTAAGAGAATTCTATTCCCTGAATTTAAATATTTCAGAGTATACCACAAACTATCAAGGAACAGAGATGCACATGTTATCAAAGAGCTGCTAAGCCAAGTTTTTTTTCTTAAAATTTAATAATAAACTATAGAGAAGAGAGGCAATTAGAAAATGTGATTTAGCTATCATTAATCTACATCAAAGGATTATAATGATGCACATTGTGTGCCTTTCAAATTATTCTCAATTATTGGTTTCACAACAGAAGTTGAGAAATCTCTTTGACTAACTAGTCCCTTATTAAAAATCAAAGGCGAGTACTTTGCTTACCATCTGTGCAACATTAACGCCTTCACTGAAGAATGATTATTTTGTAAGTTAAGAAGTATTTAGTTCTATTTAGAAAAAAAAACCAGCAAAACAGCTATTCAAACACTCATCTTCCATCTATTATAAAAATATCACAGCATATATGAAACACTAAGTAATCACTACAAAAACACCAATATCTCTCCCTAAATCAGAAAACAGGAAGAGAATTGTGAGCTGATGAAAGCATAATTAAAGTCACCAATACCAACAAGTTTCACAGAACTTGACCAGCACCTGTGAGGTCTGATTTAATATGCCGGGATTTGAAAGAAAATGAAAACTATAAAGTTTTTAACTCCATTAGTAGAAAGAATAAGGTAAAATATAGATAAAGAATACGACGAAATTATCCATAAATGGTTGTCAGAAAAATCTGACAGTCTCTGCTCTTTAAAGTATACTGAACCAAAGAAAAAACCTGCTCTAGTATTTAGAAGCTCATTTGAGAAAGTATTGCTATAAATCAGGCTTCTTTATCTCTAGTATACTATATACTATGTCCAGGATTTGACAAGTTCTTCCTAATTACCCACCTTAATTACAGTAATTATGCATTTTATAGTAAAAGCAAGTAACGAGGTTCATTTGGAAGATAAATTGTGAAGCACAGGGTTTTGAAAAAGAGAGAAAATGTGGGAGATGTTCCACCATTCCACTCAATTCATCATCTTCAACACATGACCATTTAATAGCACCATACAATTTTGGAGCTAGACCTTAGGGATCACTTAA